TAGAAACATCACTCAGTTTTTATGGTTGTTGCCAAAGCTTCATCAGTAGAGGTCACTGTTAAGATGTAAAATAGGTAACAACGATGTTACAGTGTTCATTTAGTTTAGAAATAAAATTCTGTGTAGTACTGCTATTAATATTACAGCATAATATAGCAAATATATATATATATATATATTGCTAATATAGCAATAGATATTAATATCTATAATATAATAATATATTGATATATATATAACAATATATATAATAGCAATAATATAGCAATATCAGAATCCTTACTATGAGAATCGTCTAGTCTACAGCTATATTGAGATGTAAGATGGTTACTCGCTTGTTTTTGCGGCTCTTGTCAAAGTTTTACCAGTAGAGGTCGCTGTTGATACTATCACACAATGGACAAATACAAGGTGTCAAAGTAATTTGCTTGTGAAATACATACTTACTAACTATAGCTGTATTTAACATGGAAACTTGTAAAACATGATAAGCAGATAACTGGAAAGTGGAGGATAGATTCAGAATGAACTAATTATTTTTTTGTATTGTATAACATTAAAGTTGCAATGCATGTATGTGTGTGTATGTAAGCCAGAACTAAAAATGCAGTCACATCTAATTGAATAAATGTGGTTCCAAGTGCTACTGCACTTTACCATGTACAAATAAACTTTGAAAATGAAACATATTAATTCTACACAGTGACTTTCACCATTGAGGAAGAGTTTGGTTTCCTTTGTTATGCTGGTTAGCAGGTTTGTCTTGGATTGGACATCTACAAAAAATAACATTTACTGTATTTAGTGGTTTTAGAAGTGGAAAAGGACATTGTGAAATGTGCAGTGATGTACAGTGTAGTAAATGTTCAAGTGACCATGAGCTTGAATGTTTGTTGTTGTGAGGACATTCAAAGTGGAGTAAGAGTAAAGCCTTTTTAACCTTATGAGGTTAAACCTTATGAGTCACTTGGACATTTTACCTCTTTATTTTACACATACAGTAATATCACAGTATTTTGTTTTTTGGTTAGGTTTTAAGTTAGGGTTTTGGGATCTATAATGGTTAAACTCTATAAAATGGTTAAAATTCAATGATACAAATTTCTTTATGATATAAAATATTTGTAAATATTTAGCTGTAAATGTTTAACAATTTTTTTCATTTTAGATGGTGTCAATACATACACTGTACGTTTCAGCATTTATCCAAATGTGCAAAAAATGTGTTTTTTAACCTGTAAATGTTATGTTAATACCTACATACAAACAATGAAACCGAGCTGAAATTTCTCACCTCGAACTGTCACTGTGGCAGGAGGAGAATGACGTGATGGTTTATCAATCCCATGTATTGTGTAGTAACAGTAAATGTCGAGTGATCCAGGTGATTTTACAGCTGCCCATCTGAACACTTCAGCACCAGAGAGATCCAGCTCACATGATGAACTGACTTTTATGTTCTTCTGTTCTCTGTTTATGTAGAAATAACACTGATTCACAGTAACATCTGCTGGCGTCTCACAGCTTATCTTCACTGAGCTGGACTTTCTTTTGACATTTGGAGATACTTTTACAGTAGGAGATGCTGAAACAACACGAAACAGATCACTACATTACATCTCTTAAATGACCATGTTTACAAACATGTTTACATTTAATAAACAATATTTGAAATACAACAACAACATAATCAGTTCACATGCAGATCAATTCCATTATATATAGAGTTTTAAAATGTATTTTTATTTCATTGTAAATTCATCTAATCAGTGTCACAATTTCATTTATGTCTTTTAGAGTGTGATTTTAACAATTATACATACAAGAAATGGATAATCACAGTGGGAATGTTGTGGCATGGTCGTGCATTCTGCATTTAATTCATGCAACATTTGGCTTTTTAGTCTTGCAAGCTGTGGGTCTGCACTCTGCAGAATAAAACAATGACTATAGTCCACACTACATGACACCACAAACAAGTTAGTAACTCAGCTGCTTTAAAACAGTGTTAATTGTCCAGTTAGTTTCCATTAGTTTTAAGTCAGAGTTATAAATCAGATTGCATAGTGAATTGGTTAACTCAATTGTGCTGTTATAGTAATTATAAAGTTAACAATGCAATTATAGGCCTTATGTATAATGGTTAAAGAAAGATGTACACTTACAGTTTATTGAAATTTGAAAGGAGGCAGAAAAAGGGGTCTACCTTATTTCATGGGGAAACTTCACATAAGATATAAAACAAAAGAGATCACTTACCATAGGACTGAACCAGTGCTTGAAGTGGGCCGGTATGCAGCCTTTAGAGTACCTGCACTTCTGACATGTTGCCGGTACTCAGAGTAAAAGCGTCAGGGTCTGGGTGATTATATGATCCCATAATATGATTAGAAAGGACACTATATAAATCACACTACCCAGGCGGGATCACCTCTAATCTTGACCAATCACGTGAATGAATGCAAGTGGAGTGTGTGGGGCGCGAGAGCGTGTCAGGGGAGGCGCCCAGAGTAGTAGAATAATAATTAATTAGTGATTACTAATTTGAATCAGTACTTTATAACGAAAATAATATCTTAAAATGAAAAGAAGCAGGCTTTTGCGATCACATCATTTTAAACCGGTAAACTCCTGCAAAGTCCAAGGATCCAGTAAACGAATTCAAACAGTAAGTTCAAAACAGCCTAATGCAGAGAAAACACGGCTGATTTCATCAGCGATTGCGAAAAGAATGGTGACTTACGTCCAGATGTCAGTAATTATTATTTTCAGCGTGTATTTGGCTTAAATTCAAGAGTGTTTTATGGGGGGGGGGGTTACAATAACTTGAAGTGGAGTGATACAAATGGTGAAAATGTAATACTTAGTTATTTATGTAATGTAAATCTTTTGTGAAAACTATGTGTTTTTGTTTGAATAACCTTATTTTGGGGGGAAAAAAGCTTCTTTGTAATGTTCGAGTAATGGAATAATGTTTGATGACCTTTGGCTTTGACAAAAAGCAACAATGCACAAATACAAGGATGTAATGACTAAAACTATGCGGCTAAAATGTTCGTTTTAAATCACAGATTCTCACTGGGCTGAGATACAAAGAAAAGTTTAAGGGAGAAGTGAGAGGCTGGGTATGCATGTGCAGTAGTGTGTCCTACATACTGACCACAAACATACAGTGAAACCACTGAAAATGTCACACAAAACAGTGTTGTTGTTTTTTTGTATTGCACAGCAGTGATCAAGTTAAAATGTGCATGCCATTAATAGACCAATAATATCTGACATCACTTTTTTCTGTCATTGCTTTTTGTTTTTGATTATTAAAAAACAAAATAGTTTGATTGAAAGTGAAACATCCACATTCTCTTTTAATGTCAATTAGTTGAATTATTATAATATAATGATAGAAAACTTAAACTGGCAGAGGATGGTTTGGCATTTGTGCCAGACTGTATAACACATGAGAGTCTGCAGCGACATCAGGGATGGTGCAGTACACGTGGTACAGTTTCATCTGTAGAGCAAAGAAAGTAGATAAATATACAATATGTGAAGAAATAAAAGAATAAATGTGGTGGTCGCTGTAAACGTTGAAAGGTCTCTGTCACAGGTCTTTATACTCACCCCATTTTCTTCAGAACATTCCTCGTTGGCGTCAATATCATCTGATACATTAGGAATACATGTTATAATGATATTTTATTATATTTTATCACAATATTTTACTTTTTCTCAATAAACTAATGTACATAACCTGCTCATAACATGCATTACATAATAATTAGTATAAATAATTATGATTCACCTGAGGTCTGGGAAATGGCTGCTACAGAAGTATTCACAGGGCTTAAAATAATAAGAAATAAAAATTATTTATATTTTTATGGTTTTAACACTAACAGCATGTGCACTAGAAAAGTTTTACCTCTTCTTCCTTGGTTGCAGTCCTAGTAAAATATATCATACCAGTGCATTAATGTGTTGTTCTGCAAACTGGATATTAAAAAGGCAGTCTACTGTACAGTATATTCAGATGTGTAGGTAACATACTGATGCAGCACAGACAGATGCCCATGAGTCCGGTCAGGAAAATCCCTCCGCTTGTGGCTGCCAGTGTCAGGATGAGCAATGTTTCTTTGTGTCACCAAGAAATCAGATAGATTGATTACCATTTGCAAAGTTTTCAGTTGCAGTGATTAATTGATTTATACTGATTGTTAATACGTACTTGTTCTTGGTGTTCTATGGACAGCATTTTCACCAGAAGTTGAAACTTTGAGAACTAAAAGGTTGAAATGGAGGAATAGACACTTGAACACTCTGACACCTCTTAAAGAAATAGTTCACCCCAAAATAAAAATTTGCTGAAAATGTACTCACCCTCAGACCATCTAATGTAGATGAGTTTGTTTCTTCATTGGAACAAATTTGCAAAAATTAGTATTACATAACTTGCTCACCAGTGGATCCTCTGTCGTGTGGATTATTGTGATGTTTTTATCAGCTGTTTGGACTCTCATTCTGACGGCACCCATTCACTGCAGAGGATTCACTGGTGAGCAAGTGATGAAATGCTAAACTTCTCCAAACCTCTTTGATGACGAAACAAACTCATTTACATTTTAGATGGCCTGAGTGTGAGTACATTTTCAGCAAAGTTTCATTGTCAGGTGAACTATTCCTTTAAAGGTACACTATGTAACTTTTGGCACTCTTAACAGTGAATAAACAAAACTGCATGCATCCTGCAGAAGAACATTGTAGCCGGAGCTACTTCTATATTCTGTTTATGTATATGACAAGTCATATAGATACTGGGCTTCTCTGCAGCAGCTGGCCTCTAAAATAGTCCTAACATAAACACTTATTATAGGTGTACCATAGTGATTCAAGATAAGACAAAAACATGATTTGGAAGATGGATTCATGATGTACTCATATCAATTTTGTAAATTTTGAGCAAAAAAAAAGTTACATAGTGTACCTTAGTTAAAGTTAACATCTGCTCCAACAACAACCTTTACTGTAACACTGTAACTCACCCCCTGTCGTGTTCCATGTGACATTGAGCGGTTGTGAAGGATGAGTAGTTTCTACAATGTAGCAATTCAGTACATCAAACAATTACAGTATTAAATACAAATATTTCTTATTTTCTCACTGATATAGTTCAGATACTTCTTGACATTAAGCATCTCCAAGTAATTATATTTTTATGAATAGTCATACATATTTCTTCCTAACTTTAATAATAAACCGATTGTGTGATATTTCGTAGTTTTGAGAACAATATGAGTCATATCTGAACACTTCACCTCAGAATGACCAAATAATGATCTACTTCCTTAAAGTTTACATCCTCAAATCTATTTAATATTCATTTGTTTTACCTCTTGGCCTGTGTTTACTTATTCTAAACCAGAATATTATTTTACCGTATTTATTTATAGATTGTTTTAAGTGCTATTTTACGCAGTGAAGTCTTTAATGTCATTAGGACTGGGGCTGAATCTACAAACTGTTCCTCAATTCTGAGGGCAAATACAGAATGAAACTCAGTGTTTCAGATCCTCATGACTGCAGGGGAAAAACACCTCATCAGAACTCCAACACATGTGTCCTAAACGCTGGATTTTATCTTGAGAATGGTTTTATCATAACCCCTTTAAATGATATCGGTGTTATTGCAAAACTCATGATCATGAAATTCAATCTTAATATTAAAAAAGGTGCTCACCAGTTGTAGGGTTTATTGTGGTCTCACAACAAGTACTGGATTCTGTAGCCAGAGTTGCTGAAATATTAAGAACTTACTATTCAAAGTTGTTTGAAATCATCAGTATTGCTGTGTCACATTTAGTTCACTCACTTTTTGGCTCTATTGTCGTAGCATTTATTACATCCTCAAATCTATTTAATATTCATTTGTTTTACCTCTTGGCCTGTGTTTACTTATTCTAAACCAGAATATTATTTTACCGTATTTATTTATAGATTGTTTTAAGTGCTATTTTACGCAGTGAAGTCTTTAATGTCATTAGGACTGGGGCTGAATCTACAAACTGTTCCTCAATTCTGAGGGCAAATACAGAATGAAACTCAGTGTTTCAGATCCTCATGACTGCAGGGGAAAAACACCTCATCAGAACTCCAACACATGTGTCCTAAACGCTGGATTTTATCTTGAGAATGGTTTTATCATAACCCCTTTAAATGATATCGGTGTTATTGCAAAACTCATGATCATGAAATTCAATCTTAATATTAAAAAAGGTGCTCACCAGTTGTAGGGTTTATTGTGGTCTCACAACAAGTACTGGATTCTGTAGCCAGAGTTGCTGAAATATTAAGAACTTACTATTCAAAGTTGTTTGAAATCATCAGTATTGCTGTGTCACATTTAGTTCACTCACTTTTTGGCTCTATTGTCGTAGCATTTATAGAGAAAGTTGGTGTTGAATCTGCATAGAAACTGTTACCATGTTTCAAAATAATCACCACAAATATTAATAATCATAAATGAGATGAACTTACATAATGTTTCCTTTGTTTCTGGTGGTGACTGAATTTTCACAGAAAAAAAATCTATAGAGGGGAAAAAAAATCTCCATTAAAAACATTGTACAAACTGAAAATATGAAGATAACACTAACATTACAAACCTGTAAGACTGTACTTCTCACTGTATGATCGTTTGGATATTGCGTTTTTTGGAGAATAACTGCAGCTCACTACTTTATTCTCGACTGACTTCAGATTATTTGAAAATTCATATTCCAAGACTGTAAAACCACACTGTGTTTTTCCAGACAGTTCATGAGATTGTATCTTTTTAAATTGTGGATATTCATCTCCAAGAGAAAGAAAACAAGTATAACCACCATTATCTGATCCTGGTATTTCACACAGAATTCTAAATTCACCCTTTTCAGAATCATAGATGACTTTAATATCCGGCCGCTCATCTGCAAACACACACAGTCATATGATAGTAGAGCATTAGATTATGATCATGCTTGATTTTACTGTAATACTTTACAGTACCCCTTACTCTTACTCAAATCAGACTGAGCGTCACGTTCATCATGTCTCAGCTGCACTGTGCTTGAGTCTTTCTGAACTGATGCTGGAGATGCTGTCAGCCAAAACTGATCAGAGAATCCTGTAGCAGAAAAACAGTAAATCTTCAGATAGCAATACATCAAATATAAGTTGTAAATATAAGCTGCTGAACACAAGGACAATACCTTGGTCAGAATAAAACTGTAAGATTTTACATTGTAAAGGCTCATATTTTAAAACAAGATGCCCATTGACATCACTGAACTAACGTGAACAAAAGTAACTTGCTTTGACCATAATAGAGAAGTGGTTTTCAACCAGGGGCCCACTGGGGGCCTCCGCAAACTTCCGAAAAAAAGCCAAAAGATGACTTAAAATTATTTTAATAATTTTAAAAACTAAATTCATATACTAAAAACACAATTAAATCAAGAAGGGTTAATGAATAATAACAAACAAAACAAAACAGAATTTTATCACAAAATTAATCGTATCTAATTATTTCTGTTAAACTTGTTAAAAACAAGCAACATTATCATGAATAAAACCGAAACACCAGAGAAAATAGCCAGGGCCTTGAATATTGTGTTGGACAATGGGTGGCCTTCAAGTCAAAGGTTGAGAACCACTGGTTGATAAGAACAAGGCAGAGGTTCAGAGAAAACCTAAAAACTCTTTGGTGTTGTGGCATATCACCTTTTACAAGTTATTTCTGACGACATGCATCATGCATGCAACCAGGGCCCTGTACACACATTTTGAGGGGCAGTGGCCCAAAACCAAAAAAGGGGCACTAGGGGGGTGGGTGCTTGTTAATACAAATATCCAGTTGTTACATATATACAATTAAAAGAGAAGACAGCACACTCTGTAATAATTTCAGACATTATTGTAGATGTTTTGATGAGAGTGGGCTCTCCCTCACTCTCTGAGCCTGCTTCTGCCTCATCTTCAATGGAAGTAGGGGAGAGTGGGGTAAGTTGAGCCAGTGGGTAGTTGACCCGCCCCCTGTATCTTGGCAACTGTACACTTTTACTGTCATGTGACCATGTATTTTGGAACCACCAATCATTTATGCCAGACTGTGAAAAGGAGAAACACATGGGGGAATGGAAGGCACCCATTTACTTTAAAAACTGTTTTTGGCTTGTTAAAGTAAAATTTTAGCATAACAGATGATATGGTTGTTACATCAAAGCAAATTTATCCAGGTCTAAAAGTATGTATGATACATAGGGGATTTAGCAACATATAAAACAATGCAAATCATTTAGCTAAATATTAGCCTGAACTGGTAAGCAACAGTAGCTATTTTTTTCCAAAAAGGCAGCTATGGGGCAAATTGAGTCAGCATTTTAACTTAACCCACCATAAGGTACTGTAGTTAAGTTAAATCTCTGAATTATAAACTGGTATTTTAATGTGATATTATTGGTTTAGTTTATCATATATACATATTATTTGTAGTTTATTTGATATATCACACATTATAATCAGATATATCTTTCCACCTGTAGTCCCTACCCTAATGGGCTGGCCAACAAACTTAGTCTGTTTTTAGGAAGGCTACAATTTTGGTGTTCAACATATTGTTTCAGAAATGCAAACAATTAAATATTGAAATTTAAACTTCATGGTCATTTTACACCCAGATGGTGCATCTTACCCACTGACTCGACTCGGGTCAACTTACCCCTAACCTGGGGCAAACTGAGCTATGAGGACACTTTTTTAAAGCCATATTTTTTAGAACCCTTTGTCATAGATGCATTCTGATCATTTAAAATGATCGGAATACTTTCATTGGGATAGGATAGATACTTTCATTGTACTTCTGCATCATTTTAACTTATCTTGAGGACCACATAAGTAAAAAATGGCTAATCTTACCCCACTCTCCCCTATAAGTATTAGACATTTAATTTAATATTTTACAGCGTAACTCTATATTATATACTAATAAACAACTAATTTAGAGCATTTATTACATTTACTTTTACATTTAGTCATTTATTAATTCATATTATTTTTTAACTTTACCTGCTGACTTGCTGGAGCTTTGAATCCATGTTTGCAATGTTGAACTGCCTTTAGCAGCCTCCCTTCGCTCTTTCTCTCTCTGTCTCTGTCTTCTTTTGTGAAGGCTTTTTTTTTTGTCTACAAAGTGTGCCAACAACAGCGAATTTTGTGTTATTTAAATTAGATCTGATCGGGAACAATCATTTGATTAGACATTCTAATTTTAAAAACGTGGATATTTTGTTGCAAATCATTACTGACAGAAATACAAAAACAAACTACCAAATGACTAATTCAGCGAATCATCCACTGACTGTAATGTGGATTGTAATGCATCCACCTGTTAATGAACGACATTGGGAACTGTGGTCTCCACTCCAGAGAGCGGGCACAGATCGTGAGTGATGCTGCGGAGCGGTAACAGACAGCTTGAGCTGGGGTGATGGGGGGATTGGTGAGAGGGGCAACTCAGCCGATGAGGGCAAAGGGGCAGTGGCTCTAGCCACCGGGCCACCCCCCTGTGCACGGCCCTGCATGCAACTACAAGAAAACTGCAACCCACAAAGAAAGTCATCCACCTAAGAATAACATTGGCTTTTGCTTTTGTGTTTACTCACAACTTAAATTCAAAGAACAAGGACTAAAACAACTGTAACAGACCAACTGAGGAACATACAGCATACACTATTTAGACATACTGTAACACAATTGCACACGTATGAATTTTAAAATAATGTAAATGCATAAGCACTAAAATATAGCTTTCTTCCCATCTCATTTTTTTTCATCATCACGTCCCCTTATCCACAAATTGCTTGATATGGCAAGTATAGCTGTGCATATTATGTCTGTAATTGTTAGATGTTTTGCTGTTGTTATTTAGGCTTTAAATATTGATTGGGCTATTTTGTAAATGTTGGTAGTACCTAAAATAAGCACTTCTGACAGATAATGGTGCAAATATTAAAGACAAAAATGTGTCTATTCTAAAGCAGAGGAGAACAGACACTTGATATGACATCAAAGTTTATTTAAAAATTGAAATTGTGACTTACCTTGAGATTTTACCTCCAGAAAGAGTGTAAAGATGAGGGGGATGAGCAGCAGCATGTCAGCGACACATGAAAGAGTGATGAACTGACATACAGACACACACCACATCAGTACATACATGAGGAAGTAGAAAGCAATGAAAGGAAACCTATAAAACAAATGGCACGATATGTCTCTGTAACATTAAACACGATATAATGTAATGATCTTCTAGGATATCAAACCAAGTAGGCTAAATGAGAACACAAACATTTTATTTTTTCTGATGCTAAGGGAAGTTCTGAATATAATTTTCATATTCAAGTCTTATTTTCTCACAATAGTTTTTTGTTATAGTTATTTGTCTGAAGTGTTGAGGTCTTTCAAAGGCACAGGACACAACTGTGGTAGAGCTGGAGCTGCATAAACAAGACATCTTCTGTTTAAAAGTTGGTCTGCCTGTGCACATGAGGACATGTGGCTTTGGAGAGTGATTTGCAGGAAGGGTGGAATCTTATGCTTTTAAAGCTAGCTTGCTATTGTTTGCCTCTCCGCCTACCCCACCTTTACTAGTTTAACTGTTTGAACAGCTCTGTTTTCTGTCATTGTCATAGGTAATGATTTTTTAAAAATACCAAAATGTAAGAACTTACTAAAGAATTCATTTTAAAATGTACTAAAAAAAAGTCCTAAAAGTTAGAACAGTACAGTTTTAAGAAAATGGTTAGAAAGTCGGACTTGTAACCCAAAGGTCGCGGGTTCAAGTCTCAGGTCCGGCAGGGATTGTAGGTGGGCGTAGTGAATGTACAGCGCTCTCTTCCACCCTCAATACCACGACTGAGGTGAGACCCTTGAGCAAGCCACTGAGTCCCCAACTGCTCCCCAGGCGCCGCAGCGTTGGCTGCCCACTGCTCCAGGTGTGTGTTCACGGTGTGTGTGTGCACTTGAATGGGTGAAATGCAGAGCACAAATTCCAAGTATGGGACACCATACTTGGCCACACGCCACGTCCTTTCCTTTCCTTCCTTTATTGTGAGCCCAGTCAAAAGATTGAGACTTTTTCCATACCTGTCACGCTTTAATTCTTATGATTCCGATTCAAAAGGACCAAGATATTAAATGCACCAAAAACATAACATATTGGGTTATGTGTATAACTGAATGTACCACAATGCATAATGTAGTGAGTGGTGAGAAGAGAGACGGGGGCTATTGTGTCACATGCAGCTTTGTAAATTCCTGTTTTAGACAGCAGAGGGCGCTGTGAGCTTAACTATTCTATGTTGTTTACACAATTTTCGTTCCTGACTAGTAAATTTGAGGCATTGCAGTTTTTGCAGTTGATTACATATTTTCTGTAGTAGGTATCAAGAAATATATATATATATATATATATATATTTGATTTAAAAAAAATTTTCATTGTTTATTTTTATTTATTCATTCATTTTACAGAGAAGATTATTTTAGAATTCTGTCTGTATGCCACACTGTAAAATTATTTTTAGAGGTTGTAAATAAAGTAAATAAAATGTACATTGTACAAGAAAATATTATTTCAGTCTTTCAGCTTTAAAATAATCCAATTTTAATATGTTAATTGTGGGTTCTTTGTAATTATTTGTGAAATTTACTAGCAATTTTTGAGTGAAAACTTTCTATATCTTTTTTTTCCCCAATGCACATGAAAAACATTTTAGCACAAAAATAAGGAGAGGCCACCATTTTTATTCACATTTAAAAAAACAAACAAAAAAACTGAAAATGCATTCAGCAGACAAAGTGCAAACAAACATACCATATTAACAAAGCATTACTCAAAAAAAAAGAGTACCAAATACAACAGTATTGTTTGTAGTATTGTTACACACTGGATCCTTTACAGTATGCAAACACGTATTTGATGTTTAAATTATCTTTCCACAAAGAAGAGGCATGGAACTGAAAGAAGAAAAATAAAAGTAAGGAATTTGGCAGAAGATCTTTATATATATGTATACATATACTTTATATATACATATATATATATATAAAGGATTAATAAGTCATGTCATCTTGTCCATTACTTCAATTTATACATTGAATTGATTTAACCGATTTTTTGTTTTACAAAATCTAACTACATTTTTTAAGTCAGTTTAATCTAATTTAAGTTGTAATAGCTACAACTAGTTTGATCATACTTTAAAAAAAAAAAGCATCAACTGAGCATAATTTTTTAAGTTGAAGTCGGTGGAATTATTTTTTTTTTTTGTGTGTGTGTGTGTGTACTCTTTAGTTCCTTCCCAAGATGAACCCCAGTCTTTAATAAGAGCGGGCATAAAAATACATAGGCAAAGTAAAGCTCATATGTATTTGAGATACTGTTGATATTTTATTCCAATTTAAGGAGCCCCAACCTCCATTTAACCCCGTATATAAGCCCTGGATTGACATTATAAAACATGAAAGATTTATACAGAAAGGAAATGTAGTGTTCAGTTTACTTATGTTTAAATACTGAAATACTTAGGGAGGAGCTATAGAACATCTGATAAGATAACAATTGCATCAAATTTTTATGTTTCATTTGTTTGGTTTGTTTTTATTTATTTAGTTCTACTTTTCTTTATGAATGTCTTACATTGATGCTGATAAGCTGAGCTGTCCTTGATTCTGCTAAAATGACAATAATATGTTTTTAGCAAACAAACTTGTAGGCTACCTTGAAATTTGGTTATACTGTTTAAATGAAACACTCACACTTCATACTGTACTTCAGAATATTCAAACCTCCCCAGATTCTCTGCTAGAAAAATCATATACATTGTTTCAAATGTTTTGTTTTCAAACAAAATTTGGACATCTCACAACAACTGAGATGTCTGTACGTTTTGTCTGCATGAGTGTGTGGTATGTTGAACTTACTGCTGAAGCAGCACAAGCAGATGCCCGTGAGTCCGGCCAGAACAATGACCCCACTGACCATGATTAACCATATGCCTTTGAGTAACCAAGAAATCAGATTTTAGCATTTATTAACTTATTCCATTGTTCTTGAACATTTGCAAAATATTCTGTTTTAGAAAAATATGGCAGTGAAAAAGTATAGCAAAACCAGAAATATACTACACCAACACACTTGATATGGTGTCCCTTGAGACTCTGAGGGGTTGTGCAGGCTGAGAAGTTTCTAGAACAAGAGTAAGATATAACAATTCAGTGAAAAGGTTCATGAAATGTCAATATTGCATTTTTTTAAAGTGACATTTCAGTGTTTAGAAATGTGACTCAGCTACCCTCCAAGAACAGTTATATTAGTTTATATAAACAAAAGACTCAGCTACTCACCAGCAGTGAGGTTTGTTGTGGACTTAAAATAAGTACTGGATTTTCTAGTCAGAGATACTGAAATAAATAATAAAGTGTTACTGTATTTCTGCAGTAAGTAACTTGGTTGTGATACTGAATAATGAGAAATCACCACTTTATTTTCATTTGAAAAGGCATTTTGTATTACAAAATAAACTCATTTACTTACTTTATAAATCACATTTGACTCAATAGAGGAATCTATGGACAGAACTGTGCAACATTCTGAAATGCATGATATAAGATGAACTTACATAATGTTGATCCTTCTGTTGTGGTTGGTGTCTGAATTTGCACAGGAGGAACCGCTATTTAGAGAAATACACATATTAAAAAAGAACAACCCAAAGATTGACTGGAAAATCCAGTATAAGAGACAGTAAACCATTACAATAATTAAAACACACATTTCTAAACCATCAACCACAATCAGTAGTCTTAATGGACTAAATAAATGACCAAACAAAAGGATTTCAATAACTTCTTCCCGTTATAATAGAATTATTTTTAAAAAGTTGTAGAAATTTGCTGCTAAACTGAAGCAGACCAAATTTTATGCCTTTGTGAAAGTATATTTTGGGTTATAGCACTTTTTGCACATATTTCCTAGCACACACATTACCTTTGAGTATTGCAAACCACACCAGCTTACAAAGCCAGCACTCTACAACAGCTCATGACTTGCGGTAAAAGAGCACAAGTGATCATGGCATAAGTCTGTCTCAGTGTAAACAGCATTTCTATATGTAGCATAGTCTGTGGTTTTGTGACCACAGGTTATTATATATATATATACTGTATATATATTTATTTTTTATTATTATTATTATTATTTGCTACCTATTCAAAGTTGTTTGAAATCATCAGTATTGTTGTGTCACATTTAGTTCACTCACTTTTTGGCTCTATTGTCGTAGCATTTATAGAGAAAGTTGGTGTTGAATCTGCATAGAAACTGTTACCATGTTACAAAATAATCACCACAAAAATTAATAATCATAAATGAGATGAACTTACATAAAGTTCCCTTTGTTGTTGGTGGTGACTGAATTTTCACAGAAAAAAAAATCTATAGAGGAAAAAATCTCCATTAAAAACATTGTACAAACTGAAAATGTGAAGATAACACTAACATTACAAACCTGTAAGACTGTACTTCTCACTGTATGATCGTTTGGATGTTGCGTTTTTTGGAGAATAACTGCAGCTCACTACTTTATTCTCGACTGACTTCAGATTATTTGAAAATTCATATTCCAAGACTGTAAAACCACACTGTGTTTTTCCAGACAGTTCATGAGATTGTATCTTTTTAAATTGTGGATATTCATCTCCAAGAGAAAGAAAACAAGTATAACCACCATTATCTGATCCTGGTATTTCACACAGAATTCTAAATTCACCCTTTTCAGAATCATAGATGACTTTAATATCCGGCCGCTCATCTGCAAACACACACAGTCATATGATAGTAGAGCATTAGATTATAATATATCTATAATCTAATAATAATATAACAATACATTAGATTATAATAAAATAGTCACTCATAATCAACACTCTGTGCTAAACAGTGAGATTTTACGTTAATATTTTACAGTGTAATAATAAACCTTCTTTTATATAAAACAAATTAACTTAATTAAAATGCTAAAAACTCTTAATAAATCAAGATGTATTTATTGGATAAATGAAAATTGTTTGATTTTGCAAGTACAGCTCTGCATATTTTGTAATTGTTGAATGATTTACAATTGTTATTTTGGCTGTGTTTATTGTACTATTTTATAAATATTGGTAGTACCTAAAATCAGCAGTTGTGACAGTTAAAAACATTAAAGATAAAATGTGCATACAATCCTAAAGCAGAGGAGAGCAGACACTTGATATGAGATAACATTTTATAAAAAATTTCAAATGCCAATTACCTTGAGATTTTACCTCCAGAAAGAGTGTAAAGATGAGGGGGATGAGCAGCAGCATGTCAGCGACACATGAAAGAGTGATGAACTGACATACAGACACACACCACATCAGTACATACATGAGGAAGTAGAAAGCAATGAAAGGAAACCTATAAAACAAATGGCACGATATGTCTCTGTAACATTAAACATATGACACAGAAGTATAATGATCAGCATTTTTTTTTCTGATGCTAACAGGAAGTTCAGAATATAATTTTCATATTAAAGTAAATTTATAAATTTTCTCACAATTGTTTGTGTGAAGTGTTAAGGTTGCGTTTGTCTAAAGTGTTAAGCCGCAGGACACCATTGTGGTTGAGCAGAGATGGGGCTGCAAAAACAAGACAACTGCGGTTTAATAACCTTAACTATTTAAACTCTGATTTAAGCCTGTTTTAGTCTTTAAAAAAAACTTTTAAATGATTTAAAAAAAAAGGTAATAAAAGTTATTAAAATAAAATAAAATATAAAATAAAATAATTTCTTACAGAACACCACCATTCAAAAGGTTGGGCTTGGAAAGATTTTTTAATGTTTTTGAAAGAAGTCTCTCTTGCTCACTAAGGTTGCATTTATTTGATCACAAATACAAAACCAGTAACACTGTGAAATATTATTCCAATTTAAAATGACAGTTTTCTATCTTAATATATTTTATTCCTGTGATGGCAAAGCTGAAATTTCAGCTGCCATTACTCCAGTCTTCAAAGAGATTTCAGATGTAACTTTGAGGAAGAGGGAAAAAGTGCAAAAGGAACAAGAAGAGAAACATAAAAAATGAGGTGCTTTAAATAATGAACATCAGGTAAAATATTCACACAAAGCAACAGGACAAAATATGAGTGTCCCTATGTTCATCAATACAACTGCATTCACAATAACACAGTATAACAATTGTTATGTAATTATTATTGCTTAAAAGTATGCATATTAATGCTGTGTGCCTTCTGATGTGGTTATACTGTACGCGTGAAACTGCTGAAAATACAAGTAAACCGAAATCAGACATACGTTTATGATAAAGGTTTGAAAGGTTAAGATAATGAAATTAAGAAGCAGAAGTTACAATAACATTTCCAATAAAATGCATTTACTATGGAGGAACAAATCCTGTTTAAAATTAAGATTGATCAGCTCTGGCCTGCATTAAAACAGTAGCAGGCAGAGTTTTATTCTTTCAGCGGACCTTCAGCTGACTGTAAACTCTCCTGCTGTCACTGGAGATGGCCGGTTTGGTGAGGATGGTGTAATACAAATGATTCAGTTCAACCTGGAGGAAAATTAAATCTTAAAATGAACATAAATATTGTGTAATGTGTAACCAACTGCCTTACTCACCTCAGTTGGCATTGATTCTTCACTGTTTCCTGCATAACATGACACATCAGATATCAAATAATGACCATGATAGAGTTCAGACTAAGATGAAGATATAGTTTTATCAAATATACCGGGTGGTTGTGAGGGGGGTTGCATGAAGTTGATGGTTGAATAAAGCACTGCATCTTCCTCTCCAGTCTAAATAACAAAGAGTGATCTATTAAACAGCGGGAAATATTAAAATGATCCAATTAGCTGCTCTAACAAATGTAATATGATTGAATACTTACTGTGTCTGAAATGGCTTTTGCTAAAGAAAGTCCTACAATGCAGACTGACATTTCAGCAAACCTTGGCCTGTACTTATGTTTTGAGTAAGAAATGGCTTAAATTGGGGGGGGTGGGGGGGAGTAAAAACATACCCTGTTTTTTGCTGTTGAATTCGATCCAAATCCTATTAGATTTCACAAATAGAGTTTGTGCACGTTTTCATTCTTTATTTTTTTTACATTTCATTTAAAAGGAGTAGTTCACCCAAAAATTTGCTGACAATTTATTCACGGCTCAGCCCATTCAAGTTGTAGATGAGTTTGTCTTCATCAGAACAGATTTGGAGAAATTTAACATTACATCAGTTGCTCACCAATGTATCCTCTGCAGTGAATGGGTGCCGTCAGAATGACAGTCCAAACACCTGATAAAAACATCACAATAATCCACAAGTAATCCACACAACTACAGTCCATCAGTTAATGTCTTGTGAAGTAAAAAGCTGTGTGTTTGTAATAAACAAATGCATCATTAAGATGTTTTTACATTCAAACCATTGCTTCTGACTAAAATGTTTCCTCTATATGGGGTATATTTGTTGCAATAGCCAAAATTACATTGTATGGGTCAAAATTATTGATTTTTCTTTTATGCCAAAAATCATTAGGATATTAAGTAAAGATAATGTTCCATGAAGATATTTTGTAAATTTCCTACTGTAAATATATCAAAACTTTTTGATTAGTAATATGCATTGCTAAGAACTTCATTTGGACAACTTTAAAGGCGATTTTCTCAATATTTAGATTTTTTTGCACTCTCAGATTCCAGATTTTCAAATAGTTGTATCTCGGCCAAATATTGTCCTATCCTAAGAACCCATACATCAATGGAAATATTATTTATTCAGCTTTCAGATGATGTATACATCTCAATTTCGAAAAATTGACCCTTATGACTGGTTTTGTGGTCCAGGGTCACATATGTGGGTGGATTTTGATGTTAGAGGACAACAGGTGATTGAGGTTTTCTCTGGAGGAAGTGTTATCATGGATTATAGTCTCATATTTTGGCCAGAAGCCAAATGGTTAAAGTGAAAAAAAAAACCTTAATGTTTGATTTGTTTCTTACAAATACATGGTTTTAAATTCACAAAATGTTAAAGGGATGGTTCACCCAAAACTGAAAATTCTGTCATTAATTACTCACCCTCATGTTGTTCCAAACCCGTAAGACCTTCGTTCATCTTCAGAACACAAATTAAGATATTTTGATGGAATCTGAGAGCTCTCTGATCCTCCATAGACAGCAATGATATTACCACGATCAACGCACAGAAACGTAGCAAGGACATCGGTAAAATAGTCCATGTGACATCAGGGGGTCAACCGTAATTTTACAAAGCTATGAGAATAGTTTTTGTGCGCAAAGAAAACAATAATAACATAATAATAAAATGTGCGCGCTGTCTACTGAACATAAGCAATGCTGATTACGTTGATTACGTTCTGGGGTACTCTACAAAATGGCGGAAGATGGTAACTCGGGAAGAAGAATTGCTGAATAAATTGTTATTATTGCTTTCTTTGCACACAAAAAGTATTCTCGTAGCTTTGTAAAATTACAGTCGAACCCCTCATGTCACATGGACTAATTTACCGATGTCCTTGCTATGTTTCTGTGCGTTGATCGTGGTAAATTCATTGCTGTCTATGGAGGGTCAGAGAGCTCTCAGATTCCATCAAAATATCTTAATTTGTGTTCCGAATAGGAACGAAGGTCTTACGGGTTTGAAACGATATGAGGGTGAGTAATTAATTACAGATTTTTCATTTTTGAGTGAACTCAATTTTCTGGATTACAGCTGTTTGGGCTCTCATTCTGACGGCACCCATTCACTGGAAAAGTGATGTAATGATGAAGTAAATTTTCAGCAAATTTTCTTTTTCAGTGAACTATTCCATTAATGATTTCATAAATAGTATGTACTCAAAATATATTCAGATACATCCTTACCTCTCTGCCTTTGACTTTCCTGTGATGAAAGAAACATCAAACTGTCAAGCTGAACATTTATCTGTTCAATTAGAATGTTTACACTATAAGCCATATGGAAGACATGTCCATTTTTTACACTTTTACATTTTTTACACTTACGTGTGCATCCGTACAAACAGATGCCCACGAGTCCAGTCAGCACAATTCCTCCACCACTTGCAACCACAGCAATGACGAAAAACATTTCTGTGTGAGACAAAGATATCAAAGATTAACAAGAAATGCACTGTTGCATTAATGTATATATTTAATGTTCAGTGCCATCCGTTTTCCATCCTCTGAGTAAAGTTACTTACTTGTATTTGAGTACTTTTGGATTTCAGGACCTTCGGTCATCAAGGGGAAAACTGTAAAGAAAAAACTGACCATTAGCATATCTGTATTATATTCAGCATGTTTATTAATCTTGTTTTGGCTGAACACATTCACACTTCACACCTGATCAATAGATTAATTGATCAACTTATTAAGCTTGGATGTAAATTGAGAAGTTTTAAAACCATATGTATAGAAATATTCATTTTATAGTATTTACCTGATGCATGTTCTGTAGTATGAGTAAGCGTAGTCGATTCCAAGGATGTTGAGGCTTTGTAAATAAATCAATCAAATGTGTTTTGGCTACAGTAATGTTATAAATCAGAGGAGATGAGGACTCACCATTTGCAGGATCTGTTAAACTATGGCCGTCATGGGTACTTAGAATGGACATATCTGTAGTAACACAACAAATTTAGACGAGTGGATTTAAACCCAACCAATCAAAATGTTTGATAGAGGAAAATCATGAGAAGGAATGAAGCACTTACTGGTTATCGAATCTGTTATGATTTCAGTACTGGATGTTATAGCCAAAGCTATTGAACCCACAGAAAGAGTTACACTAGGTGTTAAATATATTATTAATGGGCAAATTATTGTTAACTGGATGATTATAATACAGATGTAATAATATGAGGTATGTGTACAAAATTAAATAGAATTATGTTGGTTGAGAGGATATAGCCTAGTTGTTAAGTAATAACAATCAATCAAGGCAACTCACATGTTGTTGTGTTCGATGTTGACACAGTAGACAAATTCGCTGAAATGGATGTTTAAATGATTATGAAATCACAATGATCAGTTTAGATTAGAGAGTGCTAGAATAAGAAAAACTCAAATTGGCCTTACAAAGTCTTTAAAAACGTATTTAAAGGACTATTTAGCTATTGGTCTATTGTAGATTTGAGTCTATCTATATAAAAGCTTGCATAATTATATTTTAGCAGATATACAAGTCTTTTTCTTTAGTGTTAAAGACTCGATGACTAAGGGTGTATATCAATTTTTGTTCAATGCAAATACAAGGCTCATGCTTATGACATTAGCTAAATCCTATTAGCGGTTTAAAAAGGGGGTGGCGACAACCTCCTCTGTGCCTTGCCCCAACTTAGCGTTTCAATTGGAAATGCATCAGTGCAAGAAAATAAAACTCACTTTCAGCAACTGAAATGCTTCCTAGTATTTTCTTATGTGTCAAGAATATTACTTAATCCAAGTTATTTAAATTAAATAAATCTGGAAATTCCATGATAATTCCAACCTTGAAAGGTTTCATTGGGGGTCATTGTAGTTGGGCTGCCCTCTGTGATTGGTGGCAAAGACGACATGGCGGCCAAACCTTACAAGAAACAAAAACATCTGCTTTGAAAAGAATAAACCACTTCATCTGTCAATCAAAAATAGTTTGTGATTAAACAGCTTACCTCTGACCCTGACTGAGACTATGTCGGAATGAGGTGATGTTCCATTTTCTCCTAAGGCATGCACAGTATAGTAGCAGGATATGTTAACATGTGAACTCTCCTGATCTTGTGACCATATGATCAGTTCGGCACCGGTAAGGGAAAAGTTACACGATGTACTTGGTTTTAAAAAGTTCTCCTGTCCTGCAGGGTAAAACATGCACTCAGATATATGCTGATTCTCATGACCTCCACAGACCATCTGCACCTTTTCTTCATCAGTAGCAAATATTGGAAATACTGTCAGCTTGGCCTGCGGCAAACCTATAACAAACATGAGACACACAAATTCACCTTTGCAACAAAATATTATAACAATTAATTAATTATTATTATTAATTTAATTGTCATTTTAATTAAATTTTTAATTATTATTAATTTTAAGCTCTTTGATGACATTAACACATGCACAGACATTTTTTTATTAATTTAATAAATTAAAAAAACATAAAAATTGTCTTTGTGTGTGTTAATGTCATTAATTTAACATACAATTCCAATATATGTATGCAGCTTATAATTGGACCAAATAGCATTTATGAAACAACTGACTCTTGAATATGAAGTAAAGTTTATTTTAAAAAGAAAAAAAATATAAAATATATAAAATGTTAAAGTAAATATTACATTAACATCTGTTCAACATTTGGGCAACACTTTAAAATGAGGTCTCTCGATGAGGTTAATGCATTAACATGAACGACCGAACAATGAGCAATACATTTTTACAGTATTATGTTAATGTTAGTTAATATATATTTTTATTTTCATGTTAGTTCACAGTGCATTAACTAATGTTAACAATGTTTTTAAAAATGCATTAGAACGTTTAAATCAATATTAGCTAATATTCATAAAGGCTGGAGATGTATCGTTCATTGTTAGTTCATTTTAACTAATGTATAATTAACGTTAGCAAATTAAACCTTATTGTAAACTGTTACTAACATTTGTAAAAGTCAGGTCTAGAGCTCTAAAATTTGTATACTTTATAATAAAAACAAAACTGCAATGTCCAAGGGTGAAGATGAATGGAAATTTCTGTATTATTATCTTTATAAGGCATAAGGGATCCCTTACCTTGCGATTTATCCTCCAGTACAAGATGAAAGATTATGAAGATGAACAGGGCCATCTCACAATGTCTGCAAGCACTGTGAACAAACTTAAGATTAGAATTGAACAATAGACAGTACTCTGAAAGCATCTGAGAGGGAAGTAGGTAATGAGACTTACCTTAAAATGGGCAAAATGGCAGTTCAGCTTGACATTTCTGACAAGAATCCTGTGCTATATAAAAATATATTTCTAACCAATTGCATGTATCAATTTCAGAATGAGATCAAAACTGAAGAACTGACCACACAAGTAAGAAAACTAAAAGTAAAAATCAACCTCCAGAAGCAGGTAGGTTCACGTGGGTGATGAAGACATTTAAAAGGGAAGTTTACAGAATCACTTTCACGTAATGTATCAGCTTTTGTTAACTGAAACAAGAAGTACAATGGTCCTTAAAGTTAGATTATGAATCAGGCTAAGATTAAATGTCACCTTATATGCAATATATAATGTCTGGATAGCAAATTGTTGGGTTAAGCAAAATGCTGAGTAATCAGGCCTATTTGCATAGAGACATTATGTTATGCAGTTTGGTAAAAGTCCACAAAAAAAAAAAAAAAAAAAAAAACAGGCATCGGTGGAAGAAAATAGTGGACAAAAAAAGTTTTTTAAATTTCAAAAAACAAATTTGTTGCAAGTGAAAAATTTGTGTTATGATCCATCTTAATTTTCTCAGACTCCCCTATATAAAACCAATGTAAGAAACAAAATCTCCTCTGATGTCAGTAAGGGATGCCTTTGTCCTTTTTTGAGGAAAAAAACAATGTCATCAATAAACCCCAGCAAATATTGGCCAGCAGCATTGTTTAGCAGATGGAAAATGTATATTTTTAGCCATTATAGAATTCTGTCTGTTTTAGGTGATATTTACACCTCCCCTCATTAATTTTCTGGACACATTGAAGACCAAACAATTTAGGCATGTTGTGCGAGGTCACCAATGACGTTTACAACCGCTTGTGTCAGAGAGATATCACAGGAACAATGCAGTGTCGTTAATTTAAAGCATTTACGGATGGTCTTAATGGGGTCAGTGTAACAACAATCCACACCCATTGCTGTGGCCTTCAAGACCTGAAAAGGAACTACTGCCTGGGTTCAGAGAAAAAAATCGAGGTCACCTTAATGTCAGATATTAAACGTCTAGGGCCTGTTTGAACAGGGGCTTTGGTGATTATATAAATCGGTCAAACAGAGAAAGGGAAATTCTTCTTTGAGCAAAGAGGATCTGCTCTGAAAGGTTGCTAGGAGTGACAAAAGCAACAGACGCTGTTGAAATGGCAGTGCTTGCCAGACTTTCTCTCTCTTTTGTAAACAGTCACAAGGAGAATCTGAGACATTCGTCACATTAAAATAGTTTTTTAATGACTGAATTTGTCTATTTACAGCTTTACTGGTATCTAAACTGTCTGTCAAGCCTTCAATCCTGGTGAGAAGAATAAGAGACTTAACATACAGACTACCTTTGTCAACATCAGTGATGTACATTGAATTGAAATATCAGAACAGTGCATTTGAATATGTATGAAATAATCCAGTAAAAAATGCTTCTAATTTACAAAAAGTTTGTTTTAATTTGGCAATAGTGTGTTGTGGTGCATGATGACAAATAATAAAAAAAAACTAATAAAAAAGTTATTTTTAAATATACAGGGTGTAATGTTGAATCCAAACCACCATGGGTGATGACCTTTGACCCTTTCTTATAATTTCAATATGACTGACCTTATTTTTGTTTAATTTTTGTATTTTTATTTATATCAACACAAATTCAAAATGCCTGACAAAAGCTGTGATACATGTCATATTATCTTCTATTGCTGTGGACAAATGCGTAAAAAAAAAATCACAAACCTCAAAACACATTTTGGGGGGAAAAAAGGAGGGAAATGGTAATACTGGAATACCCCCCAAAAAATTTTCTCACCTTCAGATGTAGATGAGTTTGTTTCTTCATCGAAACAGATTTGATGAAGCACTAATGGAAGCATTATTATGGATTATGGACTGGTATTTTGGCCAGAAGCGATGGTTTAAAGTTGTGTGTGGATTACTTGTAAATTATTGTGATGTTCATTCTGACGGCACCCATTCACTGCAGAGGATCCATTGGTGAGCAAGACGTTACACTAAATTTCTCCAAATCTGATTGATGAAGAAACAAACTCATCTACATCTTGGATGGTCTGAGGATGAGTACTTTTTAAGCAAATTTAAATTTTTGGGTGAACTATTCCTTTAAATAATTTGCGTATCAGATTGATAAACAAACACCCACTTTGTACTTTCTCTAATCATATTTACTAGTTCTGCCTAAAAAATGGTGTGATTTTAAGTGTTTTTTTTATGTACATCACACTAGTTATCTTGCACATTACATTTGCTTAAACACAGTGGCATCAATAGGTTTCTGAGCTTTTATATCAGTGAAAACGTAAGATTTGGTTTTAAGGAAATACTTTTCAGAACAAAGCATACGAATATTAGCACTTTTTTGGCATAACCTTCAATCTACTCAGTTTTTATATGCAATCCAATAGTTTAATAAGACAAAGAGTCACAACTGCACATGTTCAGGAAACAGATTGGTCCAAAAACTTCACAATATTATCAACTGGAGGAGAGTACAGTGACCAGTAACTCCAATAAAATGCAGCTATAATAATGCTCTCTGGTAGCTTTATGAGCATTTTATTGGAAACTTTTAATAATAAAATATTTTCCCAGTCCTTTGTAGCTGGATTGTCCTAGTGTTAGCTGTAACCCACTGAGGTAATTAGAGAGGAATTTTACCAAACCAGCTAGAAACTAGAAATTTCAGCTCATGATGTTTCCACAGATCCAGTATCTATGAAATATATATAACAAATCCAGTTTACAAAATAAAAACAGCAGATTTTGTTATAAATTATAGAATTATATTCTATAATTTTTCAAAACAAAAATATATCAGTGAAAAACACTCCACTGCAATTCTTGCTCCTTTTTCATTGTAAAAACTGAAAAAGGAACACTTCTACTAATATACCACTTCCTAACATACTGTCCTCATCATCTCCATTATGAGTCTTTTAAGGATCTATAGGTGATATCAGATGAGTGTATTTACACAGCCACCGTGGTGGTAGAAGACACAGGTGTTGAGGCTCCTTCCGGTGTAACCTTGGTCAGTCTGTGGTCCTTGTTTTGCGAGCAGCTAAGTCCGCAGAGCTGGCAGGACGCGCAGCAGGAGTTGCAGCAGGGCAAGAAGCGAAACACACTCACGCGCCACAGGAACCAGCCAGGGGCCCAGCAGCACCAGCACATGAGAACCCCTCCTGCCATCACACCCAGAACTACATACAGCACCAGCAGAGAAATGGAAGACTGGGAATCTGGAGAAGAAAGGATTTTTTCATTAAAGGAATAGGACGTACAATTCCCAGTGAGATTTAAATATATTCAGCACAAACACTTACTCACTGCATATTCTTAAACCTGCAAAAAAAATGCCATTTATGGAATCAATTAATAAATGGTAAGGAGACGTCTTTTAAAATAAAGCAATAAACTACAATAGTGTGTGTATTATAGTACATTTTGCATGATTATAAGTTAGCAGCAATAGCAATTATAAAAGACACTTTGCTCAATAAATACTTATATTAATAATAGTTATCAGTAGTAGTAATAGTTATCATAAATCAAGCAATATAGTTCATTAGCCTAAACTTACATTAATATAAAAAAAAATAAAAAAAATACAATTGCATCCAATCAGACCAAGCAGACCACATGCCAACAGCTAATAAACTACATTAATTTAATTGTGATTATCATTTAATTATGTAGTATAATTACGTATTGAACATTTATGTATCATATTGATTAGCTCAACACTCCTAACAGTGTTAAGTTTATAACAGTTTATTTGCTATTATAATATTTATTAATATTTTTAATAGTGCTGTCAAACGATTAATCGCAATTAATCGCATCCAAAATAAAAGTTTTTGTTTGCATAATATATGTGTGTGTTCTGTGTATATTTATTATGTATATATAAATACACACACATACAGTATATATTTTGAAAATATTTACGTCTATAGTTATATTCATTTAATTTATATTATAAATAAATATCTTTAATATATAAAAATAACATAATTTTCTGAAATATATACATGTGTATTTATATATACAGTACATAATAAATATACACAGTACACATACATATATTATGTAAACAAAAACTTTTATTTTGGATGCAATTAATCGTTTGACAGCACTATTTTTAAATTAGCTTTTATTTTTATATATTTGCAGCTTTCATTTTAGTTTACATTTTAGTAGTTCTGTTATGTGATTTTATCAGATTTTGTTTTTATTAAGCTTTAATTTATTTTTATTCAAGTTTTTTAAGTATTTCATCTAATATTTACATTTTCATTCAGCTTTATTTAAAAAATGTAAACAAGGCTTTTTGTTGATTTTGGCAACTATGTGTTCTTCATTATATAATTTTATACAGTAAAATATGATAGTCCCTAGAGCTTTCTTTGTGAAATCTGTTTCTTCAAGTAGTGTGGTGTTGTTCAAACACCTGTGGATTTTTAAAAGCAGTTTAGATCGAATGTGGAGTTAAATGTCAGCTTTTAGTTCAAATGCACAAGAGTAGTTTCTACTTAGCAGACTAGTGCTCTTGAGAAGTTACAACGAACAGCTGATTTACTGCTCAGTGTTTGCAATGAACATTTATGTGCTCCTCAATTAGCTTTGTGTCCTTAGCCTTTCAGAGTTCACCATTATACAGCAATAAAGTTAAATTTACGGACACTCAAAAAGAGGCGCTGTTCTGAGGAGTAGTCGGTATATTTAGGTTTTGTGCATTAAACCATCTTCTTACACTAGGTTTTCCATCTATCTATCTAAATTACTTTTTACGGTCTAAATATGCACTTAAAACAAGATGGTGGATATTGTACAGTTGCTTTAGTGACTTTAGTGACCCACAACCATGTAAAACTGATTTGA